CAAGAAGAAGTTTTTCACTCAGGGTGGTGATCCCCTGGGGCAGGTTGCCCCGAGAAGCTGTGGCTGCCCCATCCCTGGAGGTGTTCAAGGCCAGGTTGGACAGGGCTTGGAGCAACCTGGGCTGGTGGGAGGTGTCCCTGCCCAGGGCAGGGGGTGGCACTGGACGGTCTTTAAGGTCCCTTCCAACCCAAACCATGCTGTGATTCTATAATCTCGTGATCGCTTTGATGGAAAAATGGACCTCTTAGTGGAACCACCAGCCAACTGGTGGCTGAATTACAACCAAACTTACATCCCTTTGATGAAAACGTCCCTGGACCACGAGTAGGTTGAACTATTGGGATGCAAAGGTTAAAGAGCAGTTCTTCCCATTTTCCCCATCACGTCCCAAATCAGAAAATTCCTTTTCATATGCGTGTGCATAGACTGACCTAGTCTCTTTTTAAACCGTTCTTCCGCAGGGCTTGGTGTGCATCCCGAGCTTTTATAATGTGAATTTGCTGTGTAACAGCACTACAAAAGCCCTGTCCTCTAGATGCCACTGTTCCTCCAGTAAGACTCGTGTATGTGCAGTTGTGCCAACAGTTCAGGACTTCCATTGTTTTTTTACTTACATTCAAGGAAGTGATATGATTTAGGACCTCTCAGGGTGCTAAAAAATGGGGTTTGTTGTAGATGTAAATCCCCCCTTTTGCCAGTCTCCCTCAGGCCCCTCTTGTATACATGATCCAGGCCACAGATCTGCAGCTCTTCTCAATTTTTAGCCTAATTTTCAGCCCCTATCCCGCCTGTGCACCAGCCCTTGTGCAATTTTGCTGGCATCATGCGCTCTCTCTCCTCTATGGCCAACTGGAAGAGAGAGCACCAGCGACTCTCAAAGCAGAGACAAACCCGCCAGAAGTCTATCTAGCAGTTAAACTACTTCAAGTGAAGTGTACTGAGGACCTCAGGGCACGTAACAAAAAGCAGCGCCGGGATCCCAGCAAGCTGTTCATGTAGACTTCTCTGACTCTTAGGTGTTCTGACTTCTTATTGTGCCGTATTCTGGTTAAAGGGGACCCGCGTTACACAGATTCAGAGTTAGCCAGTTGATCGACGTCAGAAAGCAGTCGCTGCTAACGGGGAACCGTGATGTCAGTCTGCAGGGAGGTATTGCCTCAAACCTACAAGCACCCTGCCACGTTGTGACACGGAGAGATGAAGGCTCATGATCACGAGCCTTATGATCACAAATAACTCTGCAATACCCAAGTCTGAAAATTTCCACTCTACCCTGTAGAGCAAGGGGCTTTGGCTACAAACTTTGAATTACTGGTTTTGTTATCAGATACAATGAAAGGAAAAATAAATAAATAAGTACCGCATCCAGCTCTGGAGCCCCCAACAGCAGAAGGACACGGACCTGTTGGAGCAGGTCCAGAGGAGGGCCACGAAGATGCTGGGAGGGCTGGAGTCCCTCTGCTGCGAGGGCAGTCTGGGAGAGTTGGGGGGGTTCAGTCTGGAGAAGAGGAGGCTCCAGGGAGACCTTATTGCGGCCTTCCAGTATCTAAAAGGGGCTACATGAGAGCTAGGGAAGGACTTTTTCCAAGGGCAAGTAGTGATAGGACGAGGGGGGACGGCTTGAAACTGGAAGGTAGATTTAGATTAGATATTAGGAAGAAATTTTTCACTTTAAGGGTGGTGAGCCCCTGGGGCAGGTTGCCCCAAGAAGCTGTGGCTGCCCCATCCCTGGAGGTGTTCAAGGCCAGGTTGGACGGGGCTTGGAGCAACCTGGGCTGGTGGGGGGTGTCCCTGCCCAGGGCAGGGGGTAGAACTAGATGGTCTTTAAGGTCCCTTCCAACCCAAACCATTCTGTGATTAGAGACAGTTCCATTAAAGCAGATGGATTTAAAACCATCTGCCAAAGAAGCTTTGAAACTGGCTGGACTAGAGAAATCCCAAGAGAAGCCAAGCAATGCACTTGGGGGGCAACTGAGGATGTTTTAGGGAGTCATCCAAAGGCAACTCCCTCCTGCAGGGAGTCCCGCTGCAGGAGCTATACGTACCGGGCTGCCCAATACCTTCTTTTCAGCCTTCAGGTCTTCTCGTAAGAGTTCAAGCTCAGATGCAAGCTGTTTTCGGCGTTCTCTCCGCTCTCCCAGCTGACTTCCCAACTTTTCTATTGTTTCCTGACAGGTTTCCAGCATCTGGGACAAGCAAAATTAAGAGTCACTTCTCTTTTGCTAGAATATATGCTGCTGTAGAAACAAATCGTAGAAAATGTGTCTTCTAGAAAACAAGGATAGGAAAAATGGTTCTCAGAAGTTGCCAGCAGGATTCCTGCACCTTATTCCCAGGGCTGGCTGGACATCTCTGAAGGCCTGGAGCCCCCACCTGACCCACGATACCTTGGGGAGGTCCTCTCCCACATGTAATAAGCTCTGTCTGGCTTATACACCTGGCAGATGCAATTGTCTGGCTGGCAACTACATTGACAGCAAAGTCAGCCCAAAACCAGCTGGGAAACAGCCCTGTAAACGTACCTACATGCTGCCTAGGTTTCACTAAACCTTAAACAAGAGTCAAGCACCTTTACACATGGAAACCCTTCACCCTCACCGGGGAGTCAGCAAGCTCCGCAGGGCTGAAGGCACAACAGCCTCGTAAGAGAGATAATATTGGCCCCTTAGCTGCTTTTCTCCAAAGGCATCCATCAGTCTTGCATGAGCTGATGGGCCACAAATTCTCAGAAGATGGTGACAAGGTGCCTTCACCGGCGATGCTCACTTAATATGTTTCTAAGCACAACAGTTTCTTTCCCGAGGGAAACCTCTTACCTCTTGCACCTCTTGTGCTCCAGACGATGCCTGCTCTTCCCCACTTATCTCTGTCTTACTCTTCTGCACTTCAAGTAACTCTGTTTCTAAACCTGTGATCTTACACAGACAAACCACAAGTTAAAACCAAACCAGTACTCACCACTAGTACTAAATGCACAACTACTACTAAATTGCTCCTTGTGCTGCTATCCCAGAGTAAGCCCCATGTTTGGAAGCAAGGAGTGGGAGGGGACGTGGACAGCCGCCAGCGTGGGCTCACTCCAGCTCACATCTTTCATCCTGCTGCTTCAAAGGGTGAAGGAGCCATCCCAGGCCAAGTCAGAATATGAAAGAAACCCGCTCCACAAAAAGGTGAGAAACGACCCAGACATATGGTGAAAATTCGAGGCCTCCACAGCTTGTTCTCCCAACACAGAGGACCCCATGAGACCCTGATGTATATCATGGGCTGTCCTCCTTTCCCATGCCGTTGCAGTGCCCACTCCCCTGTGGCTGATCTTACCCAAGCAGATGTTGGACATGGTCCACCAGGACATGTCCTGGTCCCTCCACTGCCCGAAGGAGGTTGTTACTCCCCCCTGCACGGCTCCGAGGACTCTCAACTTGAGCCGGAAAAACACTGACCTCTGTGCTCCTCCTGGCAGTAAAGAATTTGTCTGGAGAAGTGCTCACTCTGCATTCGCAGCATCCCCCCCGAGGAGTCCACCCTTGTGGGGGATCTCGTGGGAACGATTATTAGTCCTGCAGTTTTAAAGGGCTTAAAGGAGCTCGGAGCAGCTTCTCCTCCCAATTATGGTTCCTGCACACCCTTTCGCAAAAATCCAAGTCTTGGCACTCGTGGCCACTCTGCTCCGCTGCCAGCCAGCACAGCATTCAGCAGCCTTTCCTTTCAGCTCCTTACACTCAGAAGAAAGTCTGTGCTCATTTTCTTATGCCTAAACCGCCAAGCTGTCCCCCCCTCCCAACTGCCCGAGCTGGGCTTTCGCTGAATGAGGCCGCAGAGCGAGGGGGATGAAGTCCAGCTGCAGATGCAATCCAGCTTCATCTGTACACCGTACTCATACAAGCAACATCCATCGCTCCACTCATACGAGCAAAGCATGCAAGATGCCTTTCTCACCCTCCTTTCTTTGCACTTATTTGGAGTCGATTTTTTCATTCCTTTCCAAACGGGAAGCCAAAACCGAAGCAGTGCCAAGTCTCTGCCAATCCCAGTCCATTTAAAGCAATTACAAAGCAGCGTGTCAAAGCCCAGCAGCTTTGCTTTCGCTGACAGGCTTCAGGCACAAGATGGCTCTCTTGAAGCTCGCAGCAGGGAACAATCTCTAACAGAGGAAAGCTGCTGTGATACTGCCTTTTTTTTTTTTTAAAGATAGATAATGTTACCAAACCCAGATGTTAAAAGCAAATCAGCGGGGTGAAACACCCAGGCCTCTTACAGAAGAGCTAGAGGGCAATAAACCCCCCCTCCTCTTGCATGACTGGATGATAGTTTGGGGTTCAGCAAGACTTTGGGGCTCTGGAAAGGGATCTCAAAGGCAAAATACACCCCCCTCCCCATCCTCCAGCCAACCTTTGCTCATGAAGTTGATACCCAGCTATGCATTTCCATCGTTTTGCTTATTTTTCCTCCAAGCTGCTAACTTTTAAGCATTTAAGTTGCGCACGTTAAGTCCCGTGCCAACGGCAGAACAATACTCACATTGTATCCTGGTGTCCTCGTTCCGAGTCAGTGGCCTAATCAGCCAATATTTTTGTCGGCGTGCCAAAATAGAAAAGAATTCCAAGTCCTGCTCACATGGGGCAGTCTGGCAAACACCCAGCAGCGCTGCTTTCTCCAGGCTCCAGTGCACCTGCCTTTACGCCGCCCTTCCCTCATCACCTCCAGGGCACCCAAAAGCCCCCTGGAGATGAAGGGTGCAGCTCTGCAGCCCTCCATCTCAGCAGATGCTGGATCTAACCAAGGGTTAAACCCACCTCCTTCCTCTTCCATCCCGCAACCTGCCTGTCTCTCCTCCGTAGCCCTGCGTGCCTCTTTTCTGTCTCTTTTTCAGCGACAGCGGCTGCCAAGCTCATGCCAGACGACATGCCTCGCATCTCCCTGGCTACTCGGTGCTCCCCGCTGCGTTCACCCCGCGTCCCTCACAGCGGCGTTCCCAGGGATCTGTTTAACCCAGATGGGATTTCTCCAAACTGAAAATGCGTCTTGTTTGATTTGTGGAGGGTTGTGTTTACTCTCCCTCAGTGAGAAAGTGGGAAACATTTTAGTGTGTGCTGAACAAACCCTGATTTAAACAAAGGCACAGCCATGGTGGACAGACCTTTGGCCATTCCCATCACAGAGCCTGCCCGTGGCTCCTCAGCTACGCTCTTAGAACCATGATGTCTGCTGGCATCCTTCCTTAAGATATCTGAACGTGCCTTCAGTCTGTTTCACTGTATTTAGAGACTTTCCCCTCACAGCCAGAGGCTACTGACAAGTAATTCATCTCTTCTTCCTTTGAACAGTTCATCTTGGAGATGTGTGGCTGCTTCAGCATTCGCATAGGATGTGCCTTCACACTTGCACTATCTCCTATATCATGTTTTAACACAAGTGTATGGACATGTCCAAGCACTGCTCGCTCCTGAGTGAAAATCTGCCTGTGTCCTTCCTTCCCACCTCAGAAATCCAAGGTCCCCAGCAGGTCCTGCTGCCAGGACCACGATCACTGCAGAGAGCATCTCTTAACCTCAGACTTACCTCAGACCCTTGCTTAACCTCAGACAGGAGGAGAAGGCAACTCAGCCCAAAGAAGGAAGAGCTTTCGGCCAAGCAGCAGGGCCTCAGCCAAAAGAAAAGACCTCCTCAGCCAGCCTTTTTGACCCACCTCCCCATCTAGCAAGACCAGCTTCTGGCTTCCTCTGTTCTCTCTGGCTAGAAATCCTTCAGCTTCCCTGCTGTAAGGGATGATCCACCCTCCCAGCGATGCTGCAAACGGTATTTTCCCTGGGGGCAAGCAGTGACAAACCAGTCAGTAAGCGCAGGTGCTCCTCACAGAGCTACTTCCAGAGGGATGGAGAGTCCATCCGGTAAATCGAGGCTAAAGACCACTCTGACAAAGGCAGCATCAGGCTGAGACGCTTCAGCAATAACTTAATCCTTGCGCAAAACATGGATGGAGATGGCTCTGCAGGTGTTGCAAGGAGGCCTCTAATGTTACCATGGTTCTGGTAAATCAAGATAATCAACATGGTGCTTCACATCTGCAATTTCCCAGAGGTTCCCCATCACGTGCAAACAAGTGGAAACAACAAAGAATCCACCTCCTAAAGTCAAAGGATGATCTGAATGGTCTTGTCCTACTAACAGGAAAAGATCCAGCTTGCCCTTGGTTGAGGGTGCCCAAAATCGAGTAGGACACAGGTAAGGAAGAGACTGGTGAGATCGCATCTTGAGCAAGATCGAGGAGAGCTTCTCCAGATGGATCAGCTTAGCACAGGTCTTCAAAGAGATGTGTCCAGCCATGGCTGCCCCGCTCAACAGCAGATGCTGCAGCAAGAGATACCAGGTGATGAGAGAAACTCACTGTCCCCTCAAATTTGTTATTTTCAGCAGGGATGTCCCCAGGCAGTGCAGGTCCTGGCCACCCACACCCAGAAGTGTCTTGGTGTTTGCCACACAGGCTGACAGGTCTCCAAGATGCTGTGCTTGGGGAAAATCCAGAAGTGCAATCTTTTGTCATCGGCGTGCTTAACTGGTGACCTTTCCTGGGATCAGTGAGCATCCGCCTCCCACACTGACCATTTCCATCTGTTGGACAGGTCTGGAGAGGGGTTAGGGATTTGAGTCAAAGCCTGGACTTCTGTCATATGGGTGCCAGGTTAAGGGACAACTCACGGGCTTCAGGAAAACCTCTTGCCTCTCTTCCTGGAACTTGCTTTACAGCAGGAACCACAGGCAGAAGAAACAACTTTCCAATGTGGGAAAGCAGTTCCTACAGGAGACAGACATTGAGCTCCACCAGGAGCACCAGTGCCATCTAGGACAGCCTCTCAGGGGAAATAAGAGCTTCTAAGCTACGAGAGGTTCAGAAGAAATAGCTCCAGAGAAAGAAAGGAAGAAAAAAAAAAAAAGACACAATTGAATTTGAAACACAAAGACTTTGCTTCGGTTCAGCCAAGAAACAGAAGGGTGCACAGCCCACACGTACAGAAAGGCCGTATGGGAAGGGAGGGCGGCTCCATCTGACTCTGGATGCAGGAGGCTCATTAGCTACTTAACTCTGCTTGCCCAGGCACCAAGGAGGGGAGACAGGAGCTGGAAAAGACAATGCTGCTGTAACACTGGGGGAATCCGCACCTCCAAGCGTCTTTTACTCACTGCTGGAAGGTTTTTTTCCTCCTTTTCCCCTCTTTTCCGAAACCGGCAGGTTTTGCTAATTGTATTTCTTGTCAAACTAAACAAAGCAGCATGCAGGCTTAGGTCAAACATAATTTTATTTTACCAGCCAATAGAGAAAAGCAGCTAGAATTAAACAAAACCAAATGGTATTTCTTCCACTCCTTACTTACTTTCTGGTGAAGTCCCTCCACCTCACTCTCAAACTGTTCCTTCTCCTGCTTGGTTTGGATCTGCGTCTCTCCCAGGATTGATTCCAGCTCTTCATTGCGTTCAACCAAATCCTCGTGCTCCTGCTCCAGCTTCTGCAGCTTGTGAAGGAGCTGTGAATTCCTGCCCTCGATGTTTTCTATCACCTCTCGGCACCTACGCACCAAAGATGGACATCACCCAGGCTAGAACTGCTACGTCAGCGCATTGACACACATCCAAACCGCTCACCACTGGCGTGGAGAAGCCAATGTGTTTTTCACTATGGAATACTTGTGTCCTGCTAATTTTGAGTCTCGCATCCAGCATGACCTGTGCCTGCTCTTATTTAAGTGGCGATGCATGGGAATTAGTGGTGACGGGCTCTACACAAGTAATGATGAAGGTCTGGGGAGAAAACTGGTCAGGCACGATGATGCTAACTGCAGAGAGGCAATGGCAAATTCAACTGCTTGAGGTGGAGAAACAGGCTTGGGCGTTTGAAGGGATATAAAAAGAGACAGAGGGATGGGATCAGACGCCCTTTCCTCCTTGAACCTGCCAGAAGCACAGCACCAGCTTCCTGAGCAGGCCACAGGAGAATGAAGCTTTGACTTCCCTTAAAAATCCCAGTTTACATATTTAAGTCTGAAAGCCAAGTTGTCTTGGTGCACCCCTGGACAGCAACCAAATCCAGAGGAATCTTCCCAGCAACACAACAATTTTGAAGCCAACACTTTTGTCTGCAGAGAGCCACAAAAGCCCAACAACCCTATTCTTTTACAAAAGCAACAAACTGGAGAAAGGGCCAGAAACCAGCCCACATTCTTGATACCAAGGGCTACAGACCCACTCAGGACTGCATAACCTCCAAACTTTCTGCTTTGGGAGCAGAGGAACAAAGCTGGTACCCAAGAGTATTCTAAAGAACCCGATACTTAAACGCGCTCTCCAAGACAGAATACCAGCAACCACAGCACCGGATAACCACCGTGAAAAAACAACAGGTGAAGAAGGATTTCTAGATTGCTCACCTTTTATGAAGTGTTTCACTGCTCTGATATCTGTCTTCTTGATCTGTGCCAGCTTTGCCTGAAATGTGGTCTCCTTCAACCCTCCCTTCATCCTTTGTGCCTTGTGACTGAAGAGAAAACGAAAAGTTAGCGCATAATTAAGACTGAAATCTTAGCACAAGGAGATTCCAAAGCTACCCGAATCTCTCATCAATAAACGAGACAACCAGAAAACATGAACTACATCTATGACTACCTGCATTAGAGAATCCACCAGCCAAAACCTCCTCAAGACCCATAATACGAAGGCACTAGTGGGTATTACCTTACACCAACAGACATGCTCTACACGCTAGTGTGTTCGCCGTGCCCACCAAAAGTCCCGCGTCACACCTGCACAGGACGCGCTCACACATACGTAGAAAGGAGAACACTAGTGTTTCTGCACTACAAGCCCTGCGTCTTCATTTATGGAGTTAGGAAATGCAGAGTGGGGCCTGTTTGCTCTATTTGGTTTCTAGGATGGCAAACAAAAAGCCCTTGAAAATACCTGCAGCGAGCACGCTGCGACTTCGTCAGTCTCGGTTAGCACAGGCAACGGAAGTCCTTGCTTCTCGCTCTTCTGATACTCACAAATCTCCTCTTTGAGCTGTTCAACCTTCAAAAGGAAAACACTTCCTTTTATTTTGGGTGAACGTTCATCTCGCTGTCTTAGAGAATCAATTAAACTTGCTGTAGATAAAGTGCAGATTTATTATTATTATTAACTACTTGGCTTGAGGGATTGGTTGAGATCATGAGGCTGCTCCAGCCAGGTGGCCCCAGACTATTTAGAGAGATAAAGAGCAATAAAAGGGGGAAAGCCACGCTGCATTAAAGGGTAAGCAATTTTTCTTCATTTATTTCAATTACTGATCATGCACATGTTGTACATTCCCTTTTACCAAACAGGATTGAGCACAGACAGGGAGACGGATCACAACCACTACTCCTGAGGACACCTTATGGCCTTTGCTGTTATTGACAGGATCAATATAATATTACTAGCAGGCAACTGTTCATGTCACACAGTCGCTCCCTCGCACGCTCACTCTTGGCTGCCGCTTGGAGCAGCAGCTGGGAGGCCAACCCCCGCCATTTACCCAGAAGCGCAGGGTCGTACTGCGGTGGCTTCAGGATGGGTGTTCGGAGTCCTGCAGACAGCGCTCACCTTCACCAGCGCAGGTATCATCCTGTGCTCGCCAAGTGTGCCCAGCAGCACACACGGGTCCCACCTGAGCCTCACGCAGTCAATGCCGGGGACCTTGCACAGGTTCAGCGGACCTCTGGTGTCACAGGTTTACCATTTTTTGCCGATTTAACAGCACCGCTAGGCTCTGGAGCTATCAGCCCTTGCAAAGCTGTCACACACCACCTCCTCAGCATGCGTTTTTCCTTTCTTCAGCCTCGCGCTATGCCTCCACTCACAGCCAGAGGTACCTGCAGAGCCCACTCACACGGACACCGGGTCCTACAGGGTTAAGGCTCAGTACTCCCAAGTGGTGGAGCACACGGTTGGGATAAGGTCAGTGTCCCACAGAACCCCGAGCCAGAGCCCGCTGGGCAGCCTGCTCCTCACCCTGCTGTCCATAACCCACAGGCAGAAAAAAACCTTCAGAACTTCTGCGCCTCGTGATAAAGTCCACTTTCAGCTTCTACAAATGAAAAATTGTGGTTTCCTAACTTCTATGCCGACAGTTAAACCTCATTCCTAAGGAATAAGAGTAATTTGCTTTTAGCTTAACAACGTGGTTGGTTGGAAGCGATCTGTCTGGCTACCTTTTTTTTTTTCTGTACAGAGAAAACAGTACCTTACATGTATCTGTATATTTTTTTCTGTGTATATATTTCTTTTTTTACATATATAAAATAAATATATATACACGTGTGTGTGTATACATACTGACTGAAAAAAGCAATGTCCTAAAGAAACAAAAATGTTATTTGAAATAAAAAAATTGTAAACTGAGGAATATGAACTAAATAATTTTGTTCTGCAGACCCAGAAACAGACTGTCCTGTAAATACAAGGTGTGAGACTACAGATATGCTTAGACACTATGCTAAGGAAGAACCAGGAACTTTTTTAAACACAAGGAACAGAACTACATACTAACATTTTTAAATCCTCAAATGTGAATAAACTATATTCAAGTAATTAAGTCTTCGACATTATTGTAAAGAGATGGGCATGCTTTTCTCAGAGATACTGATATGAATTTAAAAATACTCATTTTAATCCAAAAGACCTGCAAGACAGCTGCTGAGCTATCTGTGCTGGGGTGGCCTAAGTAATTACAGGCTGCTGGCAACCAGTGATAGCTGCTGAAGGACTGATACAAAGAGTCTGAGAGTTAGAATTTGTGCCAAATGACACATTTTAACGGGAAACAGATTGTTATATTAATTCACTATAGGCAATCTCAGTGAGGAATTATCTTGTTGATAAAGATTTAGGATTCTCTAAATGCAATAATTTATTATGTCAAGCATTTAATCAATAGTAATATAATATGCATTTAACTAGTAGCAATGTAATAGTAAGTAATTCACTGAAGAAAGCCCACACGAACAGAAAAGAAGTAAGTTTATCTTCCACTGAGCATATCAACGTAGCCACATAAAAAAGCCAAAGAGGCTGAGAGGTACGAAAACATGAGCATCAATTAAAAATTGTTTTTAAAATAACTAGTTTGGGATTTTAGACTAGACTTATTTGCTGTTTTTAGTAACAGTGTCCAAGAAAAGGTAGAAATGTTCCTTACTCTGTTTACCCGCTTGATTTTGTGTAAACACTGGCTAGTAACAGAAAGCATCGAGCTGATCCTGTACGTTGGGCACAGGAAAACACGTATTTCTGGGCCCTACGCTGCAAGCCCTAGAGCATATACTCGGATTGAGCGCGTACAGCCCCCTCTGTGCTCGGTGAACTATCGAACTCTTCCTGCACTGAAGGATGCTGTAAGAGCTGAATTTTTTTCAGGGCTGCAGTAACAGCAGCTGCTTTAAAACACTCTTTGGCTGGGCAGAAAATGGATGGAGAGCAGCCCTGCGGAGAAGGACATGGGGGTGTTGGTGGGTGAGAAGCTGGACATGAGCTGGCAATGGGCACTCACAGCCCAGCGAGCCCCCGGCACCCCAGGCTGCATCCCCAGCAGCGTGGCCAGCAGGGCGAGGGGGGACTGTGCCCCTCTGCTGCGCTCTGCTCTGGGGAGACCCCCCTGCAGTGCTGCCTCCAGCTCGGGGGGTCCCACCAGCAGAAGGAGACGGAGCTGTTGGAGCGGGGCCAGAGGAGGGCACAGAGATGCTGGGAGGGCTGGAGCCCCTCTGCTGGGAGGACAGGCTGGGAGAGTTGGGGGGGTTCAGCCTGGAGAAGAGAAAGCCAAAAAGGGGAGAGCTCAGAACCCCTTCCAGTGCCTAAAGGGGCTCCAGGAGAGCTGGGGGGTGGACTCTGGATCAGGGAGGGAAGTGATGGGATGAGGGGGAACGGTCAAACTGAAAGAGGGGAGATTTAGATGAGATATCAGGAATAAGTTTTTCCCTGTGAGGGCGGTGATCCCCTGGGGCAGGTTGCCCCGAGAAGCTGTGGCTGCCCCATCCCTGGAGGTGTTCAAGGCCAGGTTGGACGGGGCTTGGAGCAACCTGGGCTGGTGGGAGGTGTCCCTGCCCAGGGCACGGGGGCTGGAACTGGATGAGCTTTAAGGTCCCTTCCAACCCAAACCATTCAATGATTCTATTTACTCTGCCTGTTTCCCAAAGTTTATTACTCCATGAGCCATGAAACATCAGAACCGCAGCTCTGGAAAGACTTGCTATAGAAAAGAGAGGGGAAATAGAGAGGCAGGGCAGGTTAAGGAGTAGGACTGAACATCAGGATCCCACCCAGGAGTGTCGACTACGCAGAGGCTGTTGGTGCCACGGCAGACCAGGAGATCCAGCAGCAGGAGACAGGTACTCACCAGATCAAGGAACGCTTTTCTTTCCAAGTCGAGCGTTTGGACCCGTGCTCGCAGCGCCAGAATTTCCTTGTCCAGTCTGCTGTTGTCCTCCATGGCCTTCTGTAGCTCTGTCCTGTCTGTGCAGAACAGGAAAAAAAAACGGTCACCAACACCAGTTTGGCCCTTGACCAAGCTCAGTGGGGCTAGCACATGAATAAGGTTTCCAAAATTGCCTTGCCCTCGCGCACAGAGGTATGCCTGCGACAGCACAGAGGGAAGTTCCCCATACATACAGGAACACGCTCTCTTACTCAAATAGTCGATGTTTACGTTTCTGGAGATGCTGGTTCGATAGCAGTGCTATGTTTATGACAGCAGCACAGCCGGCTCTCCAGAGTTATTCCAGGGACTCAGTTTACCTCTGGATCACGGAAAATGCCTCACCTCAGATATTTAGGTATGGGTTTCACAACCATCATGGGTAAGTTCTGAAAAACCCAACCAACCACATTTCTTATTTTCATCATAGAATCCATAATTTGCTGCGAGCAGAAACACAGTCACAGTTAACGTATCAGTGTTGTGCTAGCATTAATGCTAGCTTTTTGCATTACTATTTATGAAACGGCAAGTACAGCAAAAATTACGGTTGTATACCAACCCTCAAAGTCTAAATCAATAAACATATGGAACCATCACACCAATTAACGCAGACTATCTAGTATTTCAAGCACAAGAAATAGGAAAAGATGTTTGTATTAAGAGCACACTGTCCGAAACGTGTCCAAGTATACACTGGTACCTTAATCCTAAGTAAATCTAGTGAGAAGGCAGTTTTCCTTACAGAAAAGGTGAACAAAGATTTTTTCCCTTTTCAGCTTAGTGCTGGGCACAGGACATTTCAGCTTAAATTTGACTTTTATTCAGGCAAAAATAAAAACATACCCTCTCTCTTGGTCCCAATCTGGCAAAGAAAACCCAAAACCCCAAAGCCCTGTTTCAAACAAGGATTTTGATATTGGATTTTCAGTTTTCTAATTTAGCATAAATGGCAAGGAACACCTTCTACCGAAGCGTTCATTTTGCTGAAGAGCCAGTTTACCACTACGGAAAACCTCAATAAAATTCTGGATCTTCTCTGTTTGTAAACAGCGTGACTTACCACTCTCTCTCCATTCGCCCACCCCTCCTTCCCGGCTCTCGGACGCTTGCAGGGCTGACCGTGAGGCTGATCCTACAAGGACAATAAAGAGATGGTTTTGCTGTGGCTGTCCATTTCTACACTTCCGAACACTAAACTCTGCCACATTTTTAATGCACTTTGCTAAATACAGAGTTGGAGGAAAACTAAAGAAAAAAAAAAAAAAAAAGCAGCAGACAGCTAAGCACACAATTTAAACTCTCTAATCACCAAAGACCCGATAACAGGGCTACAGGCTGGCCAGCAGCAATCTGGTATTTTCTCTTCAAGGCAAGCAAGCAACTGCAAGTTATCAGTGAACCAAAATACACTGTTTAAGTGGAGTTTGACTAAAGAGCAGAGATTTCATTTTAGGATTTCGTTAGAAGATCAATTTATTTATACAGCAGATGGCTCTGAAGCTCATCGGGAGAAGGCATAGAGATACACATCGTCAGGGAAAGCCACTAAGATGTTGTAGCACTGATTTCGCACTCTAATAACTCGCAGCATAATAAACCACCCAGACATAACAAGTATTAAACCCTTACTCACAGTTTAGAAAGTCTTATATTCATTTGATATTTAAGAAGATTATAAAACAGATTTCCCCACGCAGGCTACGATCCACCAAGAGGAGTCGCGCGCTGCAGCCCGTCCGTGATGTGAAGAAGCAGCAGTGTTTGGAGGCTGCAACGCAACGCTCGCTCCATCCCCAGGGACGCGTGTGTTATCAATCGATACACAAAGCAGATGCCCGCAGAGTGCTCATTTCCCTGCCTTTGATTAAAAGGCTGGAAACAGTGGTTTTGGAGGCTGGCTGGAAGGTTTAGCTAGGTCTGAGTGTTGTGCGTGAGCCGTGAGGTCAGCATCGGGACCTGCGATTCACACATACACCGTACTCAGGTCACACCAGTCTCCTTAAGTGAGTCAGTCTCTGCAAAGGCACGTGGGGCAGGAACATGCTATCTCATCACACTTTGCTGTTCTCCACTGAAATCCTGCATCACAGATTTTGGGACAACATAAGTGACCCAGAGAAAAAGCATCCAGAAACCAGTATTTTGCTCGGGGAATCTCCTGTCGGAGGTAGCGGTGAAGCACCTGCTTTAGGGACCACTCCAGCTGAAGCTTTCTCAAGTACTTTGATTTCCCTCCAGAAAACTGTTTATTTTTACAGTCAGTATTAAAAAAAAAAAAAATACTTAAGGGCTGGTCAACACAATTATTTCAATAAGGAGGTTATGCAAATATTAGCAGTGATAAGAATCTAAGCAGTCACTTAAGACTGCTGATGAGTTCCGGTTATGAGCACTTGCTAACGACTCATACTGAGGGAGCATCCCAAACATGGCATCTGAAGAACCTAGAGACGGGTGGTCCAGCTGTGCTAATGCTGTGTGCACGGTATTTTAGCTACTCTGTGGCTGGACCAAGTCATCATTTCCTCCCCATGGGCATGAATTTCTCCCTGTATAAAAGCCAGTGTCAGTCAAGACACTGCTGCTGTAATCGCAGATCAGAAAACCCCACGTCTCAGCTCTCCTCACTCAGAATTAATCCATTTGTGACTGTTAACGACTGCGTTCAGATCTCCTAGGTACCAGGCTAACATCTGACACTGATTTTTCCACATTACAAGGACAGAAGACGCAGGACAGCCTGCCTCCAGCTCCCCTGGGTCAGAAGTCCAAGGCTGACACTAACCAGGGGTGGGCTAAGTGCAGGCCAGTAATTAGGAGTGGCCACAAGAGAATCGCTTGCCTGTTTTGCTCTGCTCCTTTTTTTGTGCATCCAGTTCATCCGCCAACCTCCGTATCTCTTCCTGGGCCATCAGCAGCTTCTGCGTGGCCTCATCCAGATCTTGTTCAACTCTTGCACGTGATGCTTGTTCCCTCTCCAGCTCTTCCCTGTAGAACTGAAGCACGAGGGCTAATGCTCCAACGGTAAATGAGATAACCCTCCCAGTGACGTGACCAAGCTCCACACTGCTCCTGACCCACCAGAACAAGGGTGGCAACACAAACAGAAAGTGGGTGAGCTCGGGAAAGCCACTGCAGAGGCAGAAGACAGACACACAGTGGACAATCCTCCTCACCATGTTCACATGCCAAAAGCAGATGCTGAGGAGCACAAAATG